TCGGACATTCTGGGCCAGCCACATGAAAGATAGCAAGAAGACAAAATCGATTTCATACTTCCGATAAAAGCGTCAAAGTCATATACATTTATTTGAAGTTGTTTTTTAAAACAATAATTGTCGCTATTGTTATCTTTGGTATCACACATTTATTCAGACGTTATATTTCTAAAGAGAGGTAGGGAGAAAGCAATTGAAGGAACTAGAGGGGGGGTGGTGAAATTACCTGTGAAAGGAGGAGGGTTCAACACAAATCTGATCAAAAGCCAATAGTAGTTACAAGAAGCCAATGTTATGTATTTAATGAGTATAGGTCGAAGTCATGTTATTCTATATCCAATAGAATTGTGCAAATGATTAAAAAAAAAAAAAAAATTGTAGGAACGAAACCTTAACATTAAATCCAAAAGGGTACCTAAACTAGTTTCTCATTTTTCAATAAATTTCGTTTGTAAATTGTGTTTTTTTCTACCATTCAGAATTATGCTTACAGTCTTGTAGTAATATACGGATAAGAATGGAAATAAAGGGTAAAAATGACCCAAATTATTCTTTAAGAAAGGATATAGGGTATATTTTTTATATAACGTTTTCATGTAGCATTTATCGTGAGATTATTTCAGTTTGTAAGAATTCATATAGATTTCAAGTCAAGAATATTTTCTAGAGAACTTTTTTAGGGAATAGGATAAGGATATTTCATGTGATTCTAATGATTTTATTTCGCAAAAAGATGATTTTGGATGTACGTCTCATCATATACATACCTTTTTTGTTAGATGATATTCTTTGTTCTTGACTATTTGTAATTTTCAACATACTTTTTTATTCATCATTTTCGGGAACTGTTATCTGAACTTTATTTTCTTTCATTTCACTCAGATTGGTAAACACATCGTGGATGTTTGATTCAAACACGAATCCAATAGATGAGTTTCCATCCAAAAGTGTCGTTTTTTTGTGAGGAAGATTAAGGAGGACAGGAAAGTTGGAGTTACTCCTCATCAAGCTTGATGACGGGGGCGCCGACGAGGCCAGGATAGTGGGCGTATGGAAGAGCGTGGGTGTAGGGAAGGGCGTGGGTGTAAGGAAGGCCATGGGCGTAGGGAAGGACGGCGTGGGAGAGAGCAGTGTAGGTGACGGGCTTGACGTTGACCACGGGCTGCACGTACTTGACGGCGGGCACGGAGATCTCGTGCTCCTTGGTGGTGAGTTCGATCTTGGTGGTGTCGGCGGGGGTGTTGGCGTCGATGGGCTCGAACTGCTTGGTCTCCACAGTGTGCTTGGTGACGGTGGGCACGGCGTGAAGGTATGGGAGAGGGATCTGGACGTCGCGACGACGACGACGTGCCTCTTCTACAGCTGGCTCTTGTTCTTGCTTTTGGTAAATGTAGGGGAACTCTGTGGCCTTGAGAGTATCATCGGCGTTGAAGATGTAGGGGTAAGCTCCATAGGGGTAGCCAGCGTGGTGGAAGGCATAGGGGGAAGCCACGAAGGGATGTCCGAAGGGGTGGGCGTAAGGGGAGACCAAAGAGACGGTCTTAAGGTCGGTCTTGACATCAGGAGTAGTGATCAGCTTCGCTTGAGGCAGCACCCAGGGCGCCGTGTACGGCAGCACCAGCTGTGCTGAGCAACAGGATACAGCGACCAGAATCACCTATTAAAAAAAAAAAAAAAAGGACATTTAAATAATTTACGAAAAACAAGAATATATGTACACACCAGTTAGTTGGACAGTTCGACTGACACGATTTCCTCTTTTATGCTGCATACAACGAAAAATTCCCCTTTAACATAGATTTGAGCAATATAAGAAATATAATGACCCGTCAGCAGTAATGCTAGATATGAGCCACTTCCTTGGTTCAGAAAGTGTCCCCCATAGCCCGGGCGAGGCTCAGCTTCGCATATCGGACTTATCCTTATCCTTCAGAAAGTGAACTGTGGAAATGTTTCCTTTTCTTGCTATATTCACCAAAACCCTTTTCACACTTGTTTCAAACACTTTGTGATTGGAATATTCCCATTCTTACCAGAGCCTTCATCTTTCTACCGGCTGTGTCGTTCTACTGGACACTGCGATGCGTCTGCTATATATACTTCGTGAACGGTGACGTCATGAGGCTCCGCCCAAGTGTGTCCTTCAGAGTATTTCTCTCTTCTTGCCTTATAAGTAATGAACTGAATGTGCAGTTATTATGCATGTTCTAATGACTCGTAAAATATAAAAACTCAAAAGCAGCTATTGCCTCGATTAAAAAAAAAGAAGAAAATGATTTGTCCTAAAGAAACATGACACTGAGGTTTGGATGAGTTAACAGATATTCAGTTAAGTAATTGTCATTTCATAATCTAAGGAAATGAAATGCCTGTATCAAGTAAAAACAGCTCAAAAGTGAAAATATGGATTCTTATTAATGAAAACTGAAATATTGCGATTTTCGAATAAACTGCATTTTTCTGTCATTTGAGCTTGGCCAATGAAAGAGAGAGAGAGAAATACTTCCGATACAAATATCAAAGGCAAGCAGATGTTATTGTTATCATTTAAAAACAACTTATATTTGACGTTATATTTCTAAGGAGAGACAGGGGAAAAGGCAATTCCTGGAACTAATCGGCAGTTCATTTCCCTAAGTCAGTAGTTCCCGATCTTCTTAAAGCACACAATGGCTGAGTTTACGTATTCTCTCCTGCACCTCTATCACAGATATTCGATCCAGTTTTCTCTTTACTATGAGGGCAGCCAGGTCGCCAGGTCGCCAGTGTGCCAGATGATATTTCAGTTCACTGATTCTGAGATTTCAACTCTGCTTCGCGTTATAACCCCTCTCCACTTCCCAAAGATAGAAAAAGGGAGGAGAGGGAGATCAAATCACTTGTAATAGTATTGGTGTGAAAATTAATAATCGTTTTGGATATGAAAGTTTGCAGACGGACACACATCGCGAGTTCATGATTTATCATTTTGATCTGTAGATATCGTATTATTTGCTTCCTAGCTTTTAAGTACTATGAATAGGATGTGAAGAGCTGCGATGAGGAACCTGTAACTTCAAATGCGAGTTTTAAAGATTTCTTTGAAAGTGAAAATTTTAATATATCTAGTTAGTTATTCGTCAATCTTATTTTAACAGCTGAGGCTCAGAGAGTTATACATACATCCAGACAGTTCTGAGGAATCATTCATAAAGAATGGATATGTAAATCACGTAGTATATCACGTCTATATCCATGTCAATGTCTATAGCTATCTATTTATATACGTTGTATATATATATCTACAAAAGTATATATATATATGCCGTATATACACACTAATAAGTTTGGGAAACCTATATACTCACGATGTAAGTAATATACTTATGTACATTTGTTATCATCCATGCTCTGATGACTTTCATTAGCCCCTGTAAGAATTCACGAGCAGCGATTGCTTTGAAAATTGATCTGTGCTCTCCTGAGTAAACATGATATTGAAGTTTATTAACAGGTAATGAATGAATTGCCATCTCGTGACCTCATAATTTATGGAAGCAACTGCATATATAAGTATTAGCTTATAAGTGAAAATATGGATTTTTGTCGAATAAAATGGTGTTTTTCGGACATTCTGGGCCAATCCCATGAAAGAGAGCAAGAAGAAAAAATCGATTTCATACTTCCGATAGTAACATCAATCAAACACATTTACTTCAAGTTATTGTTATCATGTAAAACAATAATTGTAGCTATTGTTATCTTTGCTATTACACATTTATTCACGTTATATTTCTAAAGAGAGATAGGGAGGGGGGGGGGGAGGGATCAAAATACCTGTAAAAGGATTGGTGTAAAAATCTATAATCGTTTTGGATATGAAAGTTTGCAGATGGACACACGTCACTTTATATATGTATATATATAGAGAGATAAATAGATAGATATAATCAGTAGGTATCGTGCTATTTTCCTCTTTCAGACTTTTAAGTATTTCAGATAGTATGAGAAAGGCCTAGATGAGGAACCTGTTACTTCAAACGCGAGTTGAAAAAAAAAAAAAATCTGAAAAAGGGAAAAATAGTATATTTAGTTGTTTTGTCAGTCTTATTTTAGCAGTTGAGGCTCAGACACAACACACACACATCCAAACAGGTCTCAAGATTCATTAAGGAAGAATGGATAGGTAAATCACGTAGTGATCTGTCTATAGCCATTTCAGTGTCTATAGCTATCTATGTATATACATGTATGTATATATATGTATACATACAAATGTATACGTATATGTGCAGTATAGACACACTGATTTTGAGAAGCCTATATACTCATAGTTTATTTACACCCTAGGGTTCAACACATCAATTCAAACCAAAAGTCAAAAGTAAATAGTGGTTACAAGAAGCTGATGTCATATATTTAATGCATGTAGGTCGAAATCATACCATTCTATATGTAATGTGTAAATATTGATATCTATTGAAAAATGTTATTTCCAACAAAATTATGCAAATGATAGAAAAAATGTAGAAACAAGACCTGAAGATTAAATCCAAGAGGATACCTAACTACTTTTCAATAAATCTAGTATGTTAATTGTGCGTTTTCCTACCATTCAGAATTATGCTAATAGTTTTGTAGCAATATGCGGATAACATAATGAAAATAAAGGGTAATAAAGCCTCAAGCTATTCGTGTAGCATTTACTGAGAGTATTTCAGTTTGTGAGAATTCCTTATAGATTTTAAGTCGAGTATTTGTCAGAAAACATTTTCAGGGAATGGGAAAAAGATATTTCATGTGATTATAATGATTTTATTTCGAAAAAAGGTTGATGGTTTTGGATGTACGTATCATATGCACACCTTTTTTGTTAGATGATATTCTGATTTGTTTTTCACTTTGTAATTTTCAGTAGATTTTTATATTTTGCATTTTCGGGAATTACTAACATTATTTTCTTTCATTTCACTCAGATTGGTAAACACATCGCGTATGTTTGAATTCAACTGATGAGTTTTTTGTGAGGAAGATTAAGGACGACAGAAAAGTTGGGATTACTCCTCGTCAAGCTTGATGACGGGGGCGCCGACAAGGCCAGGATAGTGGGCGTATGGAAGAGCGTGGGCGTAGGGAAGGGCGTGGGTGTAAGGAAGGCCATGGGCGTAGGGAAGGACGGCGTGGGAGAGAGCAGTGTAGGTGACGGGCTTGACGTTGACTACGGGCTGCACGTACTTGACGGCAGGCACGGAGATCTCGTGCTCCTTGGTGGTGAGTTCGATCTTGGTGGTGTCGGCGGGGGTGTTGGCGTCGATGGGCTCGAACTGCTTGGTCTCCACAGTGTGCTTGGTGACGGTGGGTACAGCGTGAAGGTATGGGAGGGGGATCTGGACATCGCGGCGACGACGACGTGCCTCTTCTACAGCTGGCTCCTGTTCTGGCTTTTGGTAAATGTAAGGGAACTCTGTGGCCTTGAGAGTATCATCGGCGTTGAGGATGTAGGGGTAAGCTCCATAGGGGTAGGCAGCGTGGTGGAAGGCATAGGGGGAAGCCACGAAGGGATGTCCGAAGGGATGGGCGTAAGGGGAGACCAAAGGAACGGTCTTGAGATCAGTCTTGACCTCAGGAGTAGTGATCAGCTTCGCTTGAGGCAGCACCCAGGGCGCCGTGTACGGCAGCACCAGCTGTGCTGAGCAACAGGATACAGCGACCAGAATCACCTATTGGAAACAAAAATATTGTGTATACGACAAGCGCTACGCTCAAATAATATCTTAGGAAAAACAAGAATACTTTAGTTTACTATATATACACACACCGTTCAGTTCTCGGATCGACTAGCACACGATTTTTTCTTTTATACTACATATAAGCAAGCTTTTTTCTCCCTTATATTCAGAAGTAAACTATAAATATGGAAAATGAACTGTGGATTTTTTTTCCACCGAATCGAAAGCAGTTTAACATTTGTTTCAAATACTTTCTTTGTGATTGGAATATTCCTATTCTTACCAGAGCCTTCATCTTTCGAGCGAATGTCCTTCTCCTGGACAGTGCGATGCCTCTGCTATATATACTTCGTGGACGATGACGTCACAAGGCCACGCCCAAGTGTGTCCTCCAGGGCATTTCTCTTCGTCTTACGATTTAAGTAATAAACTGAATGTACATTTTTTATTAGCCATGTTCTAATGACTTTCATAAGCCTGTGTAAGAACTCACGAGCAGCGATTGCTTTGAAAGTCGATCTGTTCGCTCCTGAGTAAACGTAATATTGACGTTTAGTGAACAGGTAACTAGATATGTTATTAGTAAGAGCAACTTGAAAGTGAAAAAAGAAAGATTTTCGTCAAATATAATAGGTGTTTTTTCGGACATTCTGGGCCAGCCTCAAGAAAGCAAGAAGACAAAATCGATTTCATACTTCCGATAAAAGCGTCAGAGTCAAATACAGTTATTTGAAGTTTTTTAAAACAATAATTCTAGCTATTGTTATCTTTGCTATCACATTTATTCAGACGTTATATTTCTAAAGAGAGATTTGGAGAGAGAAATTCAAGGAACTGGAGGGGGGGGGGTTACCTGTAAAAGGATTAATGTGAAAATTTATAATCGTTTTGGATACAAGCCACGAGTTTATATACATATGTTTAATCAGTAGATATCGTACTATTTTCCTCCTTCAGACTTAAATATTTCAGATAGGATGTAAACGGACTAGGTGATTATCGTAATGTGTAATGAGGAACCTGTTACTTCAAACACGTTTTAAAGATTTTGAAAAAAGGGGAAATTAGAATATCTAGTTTATTGGTCTGTCTTATTTTAGCAGTTGAGGCTCAGATACAGCACACATACATCCAAGAATCATTCAGGAAGAATGGATAAGTAAATCACGTAGTAATCTGTCTATATCCATGTCTACCGCTATGTATATACATGTGTGTATATATACATGTATTTATATAGACATGTATATATACACATGTATACATATATATGCAGTATACACACACAGTAATGAGTTTGAGAAACTCATATACTCATATGTTTACATCTTAAGGTCGTGCACACAAGAGAGGAGGGTTCAACACATAAATTTGAATCAAAAGTCAATAGCAAATAGTGGTTACAAGAAGCCGATGTTATGTATTTAATGAGTATAAGTCGAAGCCATGTTATTATGTATGTATTGTGTAAATATTGGTAACTGTTGATAAATATTATTTCCAACAGAATTGTACAAATGATAAAAAAACAACATTGTAGAAACGAAATCTGAAGATTAAATCCAAGAGGATACCTAAACTAGTTTCTCATTTTTCAATAAATTTCGTTTATAAATTGTGTTTTTTCTACCATTCAGAATTATGCTTATAGTATTGTAGCGATATGCGGGTAACAATGAAAACAATGGGTAAAAATGACATTATTTTGTCAGAAAGGGATGTGGGGTATATATATTTTTTTTATATAATGTAGCATTTATCGTGAGGTTATTTGAGTTTGAAAGAATTCCATATAAATTTTAAGTTAAGAGTATTTGTCAGAAAACTTTTTTAGGGAATAGGATAAGGATATTTCATATGAATTTAATGATTTTATTTCGAATGATTTTCGATGATTTTGGATGTACGCCTCATACCATACATACCTCTTTTGTTAGATATTCTTTGTTTTTGACTATTTGTAATTTTCAACTTTTTTATCATTTTCAGGAGCTGTTATCTGAACTTTATTTTCTTTAATTTCACTCAGATTGGTAAACACATCGTGGATGTTTGATTCAAACACGAATCCAACAGATGTATTTCCGTCAAAGTGTCGTTTTTTTGTGAGGAAGATTAAAGAGGACAGGAAAGTTGGAGTTACTCCTCGTCAAGCTCGATGACGGGGGCGCCGACAAGGCCAGGATAGTGGGCGTATGGAAGAGCGTGGGCGTAGGGAAGGGCGTGGGTGTAAGGAAGGCCATGGGCGTAGGGAAGGACGGCGTGGGAGAGAGCAGTGTAGGTGACGGGCTTGACGTTGACCACGGGCTGCACGTATTTGACGGCGGGCACGGAGATCTCGTGCTCCTTGGTGGTGAGTTCGATCTTGGTGGTGTCGGCGGGGGTGTTGGCGTCGATGGGCTCGAACTGCTTGGTCTCCACAGTGTGCTTGGTGACGGTGGGCACGGCGTGAAGGTATGGGAGGGGGATCTGGACGTCGCGACGACGACGACGAGCTTCTTCTACAGCTGGCTCTTGTTCTTGCTTTTGGTAAATGTAAGGGAACTCTGTGGCCTTGAGAGTATCGTCGGCGTTGAGGATGTAGGGGTAAGCTTCATAGGGGTAGGCAGCGTGGTGGAAGGCATAGGGGGAAACCACGAAGGGATGTCCGAAGGGATGGGCGTAAGGGGAGACCAAAGAAACGGTCTTGAGGTCAGTCTTGACCTCAGGGGTAGTGATCAGCTTCGCTTGAGGCAGCACCCAGGGCGCCGTGTACGGCAGCACCAGCTGTGCTGAGCAACAGGATACAGCGACCAGAATCACCTATTGGAAAAAAAAAAATTGTGTATACGACAAGCGCTACTCAAATAATATCTTAGGAAAAACAAGATTACTTTAGTTTACTATATATACACACCGTTCAGTTCTCAGATCGACTGGCACACGATTTTTTCTTTTATACTACTTATAAGCAAGCGTTTTCTCCCGTATATTCAGAAGTAAACAATATAAATATGGAAAATAGACTGTGGATTTTTTTTTTCACCGAATTGAAGTAGTTTAACACTTGTTTGAAATACTTTGTGATTGGAATATTCCTATTCTTACCAGAGCCTTCATCTTTCGAGCGAATGTGTCCTTCTGGACACTGCAATGCCTCTGCTATATATACTTCGTGGACGATGACGTCACGAGGCCACGCCCAAGTGTGTCCTTCAGGGCATTTCTTTTCGTCTTACGATGTAAGTAATAAACTGAATGTACATTTTCTATTAGTAATTTTCTAATGACTTTCATAAGCCTGTGTAAGAGCGATTGCTTACACGATCTGTTCTCTCCTGAGTAAACGTGATATTGAGGTTTAGTGACGAGGTAACTACGTATATTAATAAAAGCAGCTTTAAATTGAAGAATTCGATTTTCGCCAAATAGAATGTTTTTTCGGACATTCTGGCCAGCCTCATGAAAGATAGCAAGACAAAATCAATTTCATACTTCCGATAAAAGCGTCAGAGTCAAATATATTTATCTGAAGATTTTTTTAGAACAAGAATTCTAGCTATTGATATCTTTGCTATCACACATTTATTCAGACGTTATATTTCTAAAGAGAGAGGGAGAAAGAAATTCAAGGAACTGGAGGGGGGGGGGGAGTGAAATTACCTGTGAAAGGATTAGTGTGGAAATTTATAATCGTTTTGGATACACGCCGCGAGTTTATATATATATATGTGTTTAAATAGTAGATAGTACTATTTTCCTCCTTCAGACTCAAGTATTTCAGATAGGATGTGAACGACCTAGAGGATTTCCGTAATGTGTAATGAGGAACCTGTTACTTGAAACACGTTTTAAAGATTTTGTAAAAAGTCAAATTAGTATATCGTCTTATTTCAGCAGTTGCGTCTCAGACACAGCACACATACATCTAAATAGGTCTCAAGAATCATTCAGGAAGAATGGATAGGTACATCACGTAGTAATCTGTCTATATCCATGACTATAGCTATGTATATACATGTATGTATATATACATGTATATATGCACGTGTATACATATATATACAGTATACACAAAATAATGAGTTTGAGAAACTCATATACTCATATGTTTACACCTTAAGGTCGTGCACATAAAAGGGGAAGGATCAACACATAAATTTGAATCAAAAGTCAATAGTAAATAGTAGTTACAAGAAGCCGATGTTATGTATTTAATAAGTATAGGTCGAAGTCATGTTATTCTATATGTATTGTGTAAATATTGGTAACTGTTGATAAATGTTATTATTTCCAGCAGAATTGTGAAAATTATTAAAAAAACAGCATTGTAGAAACGAGACCTGAAGATTAAATCCAAGAGGATACCTAAATTAGTTTCTCCTTTCTAATAAATTTCGTTTGTAAATTGTGTTTTTTTCTACTATTCAAAATTATGCTTATAGTTTTGTAGCAATATGCGGATAACAATGAAAATAAATGGTAAAAATGACAGAATTTTTCTGTAAGAAAGGGATATAGGGTATATCTTTTATATAACGTTTTCATGTAGCATTTATCGAGAGATTATTTCAGTTTGTAAGAATTTCATATAGCTTTTAAGGGAATATGATAAAGATATTTCACGTGATTTTAATTTTATTTCGGAAAAGGTTGATGGTTTTGGATGTACTTCTCATCATATATACATCTTTTTTGTTAGATGATATTCTGATTTGTTCTTGACTATTTGTAATTTTCAAGACTTTTTTTTTAATCGTTTTCGGGAACTGTTATCTGAACTTTATTTTCTTTCATTTCACTCAAGATTGGTAAACACATCGTGTATGTTTGATGGAAACACGAATCCAATAGATGAGTTTCCATCAGAGTGTCGTTGTTTGTGAGGAAGATTAAGGAGGACAGGAAAGTTGGAGTTACTCCTCGTCAAGCTCGATGACGGGGGCGCCGACGAGGCCAGGATAGTGGGCGTACGGAAGAGCGTGGGCGTAGGGAAGGACGGCGTGGGAGAGAGCAGTGTAGGAGAGCAGTGTAGGTGACGGGCTTGACGTTGACCACGGGCTGCTTGGTGGTGGGCTCGATCTTGGTGGTGTCGGCGGGGGTGTTGGCGTCGATCGGCTCGAACTGCTATATATACTTCGTGGACGATGATGTCACGAGGCCACGTCCAAGTGTGTCCTCCAGGGCATTTCTTTTTGTCTTACGGTGTAAGTAATAAACTGAATGTACATTTGTTATCAGTCATGTTCTTATGACTTTCATAAGCCTTTGTAAGAACTCACGAGCAACGATTGCTTTGAAAGTCGATCTGTTCTCATCTGAGTAAA